CAGACCTCTCTGTTGGTTTGCTGCTTCACGCCGGTATGCTGCATTCACGTCTTGGCACACTGGGTTGAAGTCCCTTATTCACCTATTTAAAGTGTCCTGTCAATGGTTTTTAACTCTGGTCATTAAGTGAGCAACCATCACCACAGTCAATTGTATATTTTCATCACCCCAAAGGAAACACTTGAGCAGCCCCTCCCTATCACCTGTAATGAATGCTGCCTTGAGCTTTGGGTATCCACTAACATATCTGGCACTACAAATTTGCCTAATCTAGACATTTACTATAAGTGGAATTCTATTGCCATCTTCTGTGACTAGCTGCCTACCCTTTTAACACCAAAAATCTTAAAATACTTTTAAATTTAGACTTTTATTTGACAGTCCCGACCCAGTTGTTTGCGGTTTTGTCAATACATGAAAGAAACATATTGTTTCCCAATGTCACTGGGTTCCCTACAACCTACAAATAACCTTTAACTTACCTATTTCCTACTACAGGAGTTTAAATCTAGAGAGAAATTATTTGAAACCACAGTAAGGTATCTAGATTTACAGAGCAGATTTCTCTAAAGAACTAAGCTATCATTTCATTAAGAAGAACAGGATGGACAGGTACTAAGGTGGCCAGGGGAGCCTGGTGGTACAGTGGTGAGGTATTGGGCTGGGATCTGCAGTTCTGAGGGACAAAGAGGGGCGTTCCACTCCTGTAAACAATTACCGTAGTCTCAGAAATTCTACCTGTCCTAGAGCGCCACTATGAGTCGGTGTAGACTACATGGCAGTGAGTTTGTTTTGTGTTTTTATTTAAAGTGCCTAAAACGATGGTAAGCAGTAGTTCATTTCCTCTAGTACAGAGAAATCCATTTTCACTGCACCTTTCATACACACATCACACAATCTAAAATGGATCACTGAAAAGAGAATAAAGCTCCGATCTTGGGGGTGGTGACTACAGGTGGCTCCAGTGTCCGTGCAAGCAGACTATAAAATCAACTCTCAAAGAAATTCAAATAAACCAGAAATCCATCGCCACATGACAGAAGAAGAGAACATTCCATTGGCTCAATTGTTACTCAAACTTCTGAAATCTAGAGGCCAGAGTGGGAAAGAAGGAAGGCCAAAGCATTTGAAAGAACATAACCAGCATTACTCAATGAAAACGCTAACAGTGAGCTTTCCATAAGGAAAACCAGATCCCGAGTGAGCAAAAGTAAGGAAGAGACCTTCCCCACGAACTGTCACGTGATCCCCATAAAGAAGGAAAAAACTGCCCACCAAGTTTTCCATCCACGCACTGCAGCACTGAACAATACAATTAGCCATCTCTCCGTACCTGAATCAATGAAAGGTGAGAACAAATACATTTTCTTTCTAAATGATTTATTAGAACTGATACTCTAAAGTATTTCCGGACACTAGCTTTTAAGTGAGATATTTTGCAAGGATAATAAAGAAGGCACTGTACCTGTTTTACTAATCACTTCCTGTAATTCAACCATCGACCCGACGACCGCGTGAAGAAGGTCAGTGCTGGTGAGCCAGTTAAGGGCCTGCAAGTAGCGGAACTGCTCCTTTTGATGTTCTGCCAGGAAAAATTTTTTAAATCAATTATGAAATGCTACAAAATTTTATTATAATACACATTCTAAATGCGTAGCAGGGTTCAGTTGTTTACGAAACAGCACAGAGCTTGTACACAGATTTCTCATCGAGAGTAGAGGAGTCCACGGGGAAAGGAATAGTTGCCTGGCCTATTCCATGTATATGTCTTCTCTAGGACCTTCCAGCAGAGAGAGAGAGAGAGAAATGGTTGGTTCAGACAAATAGTAGTTAATAGCTTGCATTTAAAAGTTAGAAACAGAATTCATTGTGGCCTCAGGAGATTCAAGTATCCCAGAAAACGCATCAGCACAAAAGGTTGCATGTGGCTTGTCTTCATCCAACTCTCCCATAGATTTTAACTCACCATTTCATACTCACTTGTAAGAAGGACAAAAGAGTCCTCCTGAAAATACGCTTTATAAGAGAGCAGCTTCTCTGAATGAACTTAAGTGGAAAAAAAAGAGGAAAATCGCTGTATAAATGTGACACCTCATGCTACTGTGAAAAGAGGACTCAAAGATAATAAAGCTAGATAAAGTAGAAATTATGTAGATATTCGCTACTTTTAAAAACATCTGATCTTACTACCATTAAAAAACCAATCTACATGTCAATAAACACTTATATGTATATATATATATACATATTTATATATCACCAATGTTTGTATTTATATTTTATATGTTACATGACAACAGATTACTTGTTTTATAAAGCATTTGCATAATGGTCAGGCATATTCACGGTGTATTTCTCTTAAGTGCAACTTGGATAAAATAAGGGACAAATGATCTTACTTGTAAATGGAGGCCTGTCTTTCGGTTCTCCTGTGCACACTAGCATGCCTATGCCGTCTTTGAAATTCTCCATCCAGGTAAAAAGAGAGGCACACGATTGGCCCAGCATCTTGAGTCTGTTTGCTGCCAGAATCGCAATGGCACCTTTCCGGAAGACTCGAATCACGCATTTGAAGGGCTTTCTCTTGGTCTTGCCTTCCTCCTGCTTCTTCTCCTCTACAGTAGACAAAGCGTGGGCTATCGCTCTGATTTCCAATTTAAACAGCTCAAATGTGTTGACCTGGTCCTGGAGAAAGTCTCTCTGCGTAGACAAGGCGCAGGACCGGCTGTAGAGGGGGTACAGGGCCCCGGCCATCAGTGCACAGGCGGCCAGCAAGGACGTTTGCTCCCTGTGGGTCTGGGAGATCACATTTTTGAAATGTGAATTCTCAAGAACCAACTGCTCATGGGACTTCTCTATAAAGTTTGATTTTTCCACATTTTTTTCAGCAATTTCTTGAAATTTCTGTAAAAAGAGAAGTCAAATAATTTCACATTTGACCATGAGACAGACATTTGATTTCTCTTGATGAAAAGGAAAAAAAATACAACCCCCCCCCCCTTTTTTATTGCCAGTTACTTCCTCCCTCCTCAAAGATCCATGTACTCAAAGACCCAGAACATAGAACGGTAATAGGCCACACAGCTTGGATCTGAATGCGGGCATTGATTCTTTTTTTAATCCTCCTACATAGAAACTTCACATAAAGTAGAACACATAAATTTCAAAATGCTTCATGAATGTGCACATCCAGGCACAAAAACACATAGGAGTATTTAGGGGGTAAATGCTTGCTCTGCAGATTGTCTGCTCTCCTGTTCCTCACTGACTTTTATTTCCTCCTTTTAAATGGAACTATACTGCCAAAGAGGCTTTCCTAGACATAAAAATGATTTTACTTTTTGCCAAAATAAACAGTTACATCAATGGTGCAACAACTAGCACTTGAAGGTTTGCCGTTTTATTCAATGGGCTAGGACTGCCCTCTTTCTCACCTTGCCCCTCCCCAAGTGCAGCTCCAACAGTGGAGAGAGATGCTCGTTGTGAACTAGACCTCAACCGCTGTCTGATCTTTCTCTCCTAACCAAGGTGCCCACCATCCAAAACTTAAATTAAAATGAAAAGAACTGTTAACAGCAAGCACATTTTCATTCCTAGAAAATAACGTGACTGCCTATGAAATCATATGGAATTGCTAAGGTAAAGAGTGAATTTTTATCATACCAAAGGTAACAGCAACAAAAGTAGATAAAGTGGACTTCATCAAAATTATCAACTCTGTGTGTGTGTGTGTGTGTGTGTGTGTGTGTGTGTGTGTGTGTGTGTGTAAGGAAGAGCTTTAAGGGTTCGTGAGGGAGTGGGGAGTGGGGAGGGAGGGGAAAAATGAGCAGCCAATATTAAGGGCTCAAGTAGAAGGCAAATGTTTTAAGAATGATGATGGCAACAAATGTACAAATGTGCTTGACATAATGGATGGATGGATGGATTGTGATAAGAATTGTACGAGTCCCCAATAAAATGATTTTTTTTAAAATAGAAAGAGCTTTATATACAAGAGCAATTATATATTGAGAAAATATCCTAGCCCAAAATTATCCACTTTTGGCATCAGTGTTCTTTAACAAGAAAGTGAAGAGACAACTCACACGATACCCAGAATACATAAAGAGCTCCTGTAACCCCGAAATACATATATAACACAAGCCATCAAAATAACTTATGGTCCAAGTGAGGCTGGGGCAGAGTGGGGTATATAGCCACGGGTCTTGAATAAACATTTCTCCAAAGAAGATATGCAAATGGCCAATAAGAGAGAGGTTCCCAGGGGCTGCGGGTAGAGGGGATTACAGGATTGTTGTTCAAGGAGTACTGAGTATCTTTCTGGGATGATAAAAACCTTTTTGGAATTAGAGAATGATGACAGGTATACAACATGGTGAAGGTAATTAATGTCACTAAAGTGTATGGTTAAAATGACAAATTTTATACACATCTATTATTTTTAAATCAAACATACTAGATCCTGATTTCCTTTGTTACTAATTCAGTTATCATTTAGTGAACATTGATTACTCTTTATGGCAGGTGCTAGGAAAACAAACAAGTCAATTACTGGGGATATTCTACAACAGAAGAGAGTGCCAACTTGTCAGAGAAGCATGAAAGGGCATTAAGGGGGTCAGTTGGCAATAAAAAGACAAGTGGAACTGGAGTATGTAACAAGAAAATTAAAAAATAAGGCAATTTCACTGATGAGGATAGGCAATTGCTTCCGATAATAATTTAATCTGGCCCTTATAAACAATAGTTATTTCACAGTTCAGTTGAATCTTTATTTAGCAAGTAGCGGCCATGACAGGCCATGGACTTGTTTCTTTTTAAAAGCAGGCCAAGAGAATTTCATTTTAAAGTGGGATCATTGGGAAACTGAGACATCAGGACTTGTTCTACATGTTTATGTGAAGCATTGTCTTTAATATGGCAGCAACATCTGGGGGGCATTTAGGAAAACATTTCTTCATATTGGTTTGGACTGTGCAATACAGTCTCAGAAAACCCAACGGGCAATTCTCTTCTACTCTATAGGGTGACTACTGAGTTTTTTGTCTAAAATTTAATGTTTATCTTTAGCACAGGTATGTATGTGAGTATGTATCTGATTCAATTGAAATAAATCTTCAACACCTTCGATCTTTTCTCCATTTATCAATATGTTGTTATTGGTCCAGTTGGATTTTTTGTGTAATCCATACTAAAGGCTGTAGTCTTCAGTCTTCATGAGTATGTGCTTCAAGCCCACTTCACTTTAAACGAGTAAGGTTATATCATCTGCGTAATACGGGTTGTTAATAAGTCTTCCTCCAAGCCTGATATCACACTTGTTTTCATATTGTTCCGTATCTAGGGTTATTTTCTCAGTATGCATATTGAATAAGTATAAGGATATACTCGGATGCACACCTGTCCTTATTTAAACCACGCATTATCCCCTTGGTCTGTTTAGAATGACTCTCATTTGGTCTACATTCAGGTCTGCATGAGTACAATTAAGTGTTCTGGAATTCTCATTCTCCATTCTGTTATCCACACAAGTCAAAATGTCTTGGCGTAGTAAATAAAATATGAGTAAACATCTTTCTAGGAGTCCCTGCTTTTAGTCAAGATTCAGCAATGGTAGCCCTCATTACACATCATCTGCTGAACCCAGCCTCAATTTTTTTTTGTTCCCCATTCCTCCCCCCACCACCCCCAGCCTCAATTTCTAGGACTTCCCCATCAATCTATTGCTGCAATCATTTTTTAAATTATCTTCAGTAACATTTTAACTTGCATGTGATATTAATCTACTGTTTTCATTTGTTTCATAATCTCCACATTCTGTTGAATCACCTTTCTTTGCAATAGCCATGTATATCAGTCTCTGCCAGTTGGTTGCCCAGTAGTCATCTTCTAAATTTCTTGGCACAGATGAGGAAGCACTTCTAGCACTGCATATTTTTGCTGCAACATCTTCATTGGTTGGTAGTTCATCAATCCCAAAGTCTTGGATTTTGCCAATACATTCAGTGCATCCTGGACTTATGCCTTCAGTACCATCAGTTCTTGACCACAAGCTACCTCTTGAGAAAGCTAAACATCAACCAATTCCGTTTGGCGCAATGATACTGTGTTTTTCTTCAATCTGCTTTAGGTATTTCCTGTACCACTCAATATTTGGCCCATAGAATTCTTCAGTATTTCAACTTGAGGCTTGATCATTATCTCCTGTTCTCTCAGAAATGTCGAGCATGTTTTCCCTTTTGTTTTTCTAACTCCAAGTCTTCACTCATTTCTTCATCTTCTCTAGCTGCCCTTTGAGACTTGAATGCAGTCAATGGAAGGAATGGTTTAGTAAAAGAGATGAACAATCCCTGGAGAAGGACATCATGTTTGGTCAAGTGAAGGGGTGGCAAAGGAGAGGAGGGCCCTTGGCGAGATGGATTGACATAGGGGCTCAGACATAGGAACAATTGTGAGGATGGTGCAGGACTGTGCAGTATTTCACTCTGTTGTGCAGAGGGTCACTGCAGGTCAGAACTTTCTCGATGGTACCTAACATCATCATAAAATGATAATGTCTCTAAAGTGAACCAGAGTTGTATATGAACCCTAGATATATGGATGGATTTGGGGCTCACACTTAATTCTAGCCTATTCTTAGAACAATTCGTTCTAATGACATGGCCCTACTTGACACGCCATCATGAAGAGACCACTGAAGATATGGGTGCTATAGTAAAGTGTGGTAAAGAAATCAGATGGTGCTCAGCGATCAGAAAGAATAGTGTCTGGGCTCTTAAGGGCTTGCCTTCAAACAAACAAGTGAGACATCAATAAGCACACACGGAAGAAGTGCATCAGCCTGTGTGATCTAAGGATTGTACATAATAAAATCCAGATTAGAAGGAGGGAATAGAGTCAGAGCTTAAATTATGCAGAGGGCTTTGGATGACAATGGTATCCCAAAATCTATTTGTAAGGTCCTCACATGGATTAGGCCTCCAGTAAATCCACTCTGAACATAGTCCAGGGATGTGAATAGCCTCGCTATAAGACAGAAAGCACTGTGAAGTCGATTATGACAGATGTAGTTAGGTACAAATGTAACACCTTACCATTTGATCTCCCTTATGACCCATTGTAAGTTGCTCCAGTTTTTAATATTTTCCGCTTTCTTTTCGGTTGAGTTTTGTTGTTGTTGTTTTGTCTAGTCATTGCTGTTATTCTTTGTTTCGTACTTGTGCTTTGTGTGATTTTCTGTATATGAAATCCAGGATAGGGAAATTTGTAGCTGTAGTAACTGGGCAGATGATTGCCTAGGGGGTTAGGAGAGGAAGATTGGAGAAAACGGGGTGCAAATGATGAAGATGAGAAGGAAACTGTCCTGAAATTGATTGTAGTAATGACTGCACAACTCTTCGTAGTATGACTGAATTATTACATTGCATGTATGTGAAGTACATGCCAATAAAAGTATTTTAAAAGCAAAAACAAAACAACAAAAGAGCTGAACAAAAGATTTCAGAGTCCCTTCTGAAGTTCATTTTGGTCCTTTCTTTCTTTCCCGTCTTTCTACTGGACTTTTGCTTTCTTCACGTATGATATCCTTGAGTCCATCTTACAGTTTGTCTAATCTTTAATCATTAGTGTCCAGTGCATCAAATGTTTTTCTTGAAATGGTTTCTAAATTTAGGTAAGATATTTTCAAGGTTGCACTTTGGCTCGCATGGGCTTGTTTTCATGTTCTTCAATGTCAACTTGAACTTGTCAATGAGTAATTGATGGTCTGCTCTGCAGCCTGTCCCTGTACTGACGAATGATATTGAGCTTCTCCAGCATCTCTTTCCACAGATGTGGCCAATCAGATTCCTGTGTAATCCATGTGAGGTGGTCCATGCTTGTAGTCACCATTCATGCTAAATCAAAAAGTACTTCCAATAAATGCAATTTAGTTCTTACAGAATTCTATCATGCTACCATCAGCAATACTTCGATCTCAAATCTGCTCCTCCTTCTCTGTTGCCAGCCTTTGTATTTCAATCACAGTAATCTTAAATGCATCTTGATTGCTTGTTTGATCAATTTCTGACTGCAAAAGAGTGTAAAAATCTTCACTTTCTCCTTCTTTGGAATTATGGAAGGGAGCAAGTGAAAATCACAAAAGTTAATAACATGTTCTCTCCAAAATCAACCTCCCTTGGTCAATGAGAGAAAAGGGAAAATCACAGAAAACAGAAGATAAAAAAGACAGAGTGACTGCAGCTAGATAAATGGAAATAAAAGTGCACTCGAAAAAAAAGTGCACTCGATTGTATCCCAGGCAGCCGCCTACCGTACGTGTTTACAGCCTTTTTATGAACAAGAAAGCCGAAAAGATGTCTTTTCCAATGATATTTTAAACTAATATTCAAAGTCATGTGTTAAGGCCATGAATACTGAAGGAAAGCTGAAACTAAAATAAGCCCACTGTGGGGAAATTTTAGTCCCTTTAAAACATGATAGCGCTCAGCTCTCCAAATCCTCTACAATGTACAGGACTCTGGTCCTCTTCCACCGCCATCAGTTAAAGTTAAAAGCATTTGCAACAGATAAACATTCCTGGAAGGAGTAGCTGGAGTGGTGAAAAGGTTTTGGAAATGGATAGCAGTAATAGGAGGGCAATATGGTAAAAATAATTAATGTCACTAAATCGTATACTTAAAAACGGCTCAAACGGCAAATTGTTACACATACAAGGGTACTTCAAAACAATTCATGGAAAAGTGGAATTTAAAGATAATGAGATTTTTTTCCAAAACTTTTAAAAGAAAAGAATCACATGAAAATGCGAGTTCAAGAAATATGAAAATGCCTTTATACTCATATTCATATATTACTTTGTATTTTTAAATAGTATACATTTCTAAGAAAACCTGTTTAATAATATAATATAATATAAAAACCACAGGAAGATAAGGGTGATGATAATATATTAAGACAGTAGATCGCATACAATTTTTCATTTCTAAATGTCAAGTCATGTGCTAAATAAACATCTTAGCTCTGCTATCTCCATTCTAATCCTATCACAAGAACATCCTAGCTGAACAAATAAGTAGCATTAGGTTTCTGATCCTGTTTCCTCATGTAAACTAGAAATGATTTCTAAAAGAATCTGTCTCTCAGAGTTGTTGTGGAGCTCAAACAAGAAAGATATGCAAATGTAAGCAAAGCACTGAAAACTCTATTAAACTATTAATAGTATTAAATTCTGCAAAGTCAAGTGAATACTAGCAAAACAATGAAACCCACGCCTTCTGCAGCCATATGGGCTGTAAGAATCCCTGGAACTATTGCCCTGAGATAATCTTTCAACTTTAATCCAAAATACTCCCATAAAGCTTCTTTAAACCAAGTGGTAATTTAGCTTAAATACTACATACTGTCTGAATTCCGATCTTGTAAGAGCTATCTATATGGGATCAAATTGACAACAACAACTCAAAATACATAGAAACAAAAGAGGGGCAATGAGCTTTTTTGCTAATGAGTGAGATCAAAATCAGCAAAAGACAGTGAAAATGGTTGCACAATTGGGAGAACGTCACCAATGTCCCTGACTTGTAGATGTAAAAAAAAAAAAAATATTTAATTGGCGTATGCTCTGCTATGTACATTCTCAACAACAGCAAAAATAAAATACAATTTTTAATTAAAAGAGACCATCTCTAGCACTTAGGTGAAAAGTAATCAGAGGACTTTGCTTTCCTGAGCGGTGCCCACTCACACTGACTCACAGTCCATCAGGAGATGGCATGTACAAGATTGTGTCTGGCTCCCTGTGAATCAATCATTCTGCTCAGGCTTGTTTACCTTAAGGAGCTATCGCTTCCAATAATATAAACGAGCTCCACTTTACCCTTGAACATTTTTGCAAGTCAATTTTTTTAAGTTTCATCTCTATAAAACCGTGTCACTGTTATGATTACCTTAGATTTCTTGCCAAATGTACTTTTAATACCACGATTATACCCAAAACAAATCCATTGCCAAGAGTCAATTCCTACTCACAGTGACCTTATAGGACAGAGTGGAGCGACAAACAAGGTTTCCAAGGCTGCCCTCTATAAAGATGCAGATTCCTCATCTCTCTCTAGTGGAGCAAAGGGGGTCAAACCACCAACTATCTGGTAAGCAACTGAGCACTTAATCACTGCACCACCAGGGCTCCTCCAACACTGTGATGTAGGAGGTATAACATGCAATATAGTGTGGTATAGTGGAATTTCTTTCATTTCTGTTCTCCACCCTAAATCCTTTTGACTTCATTAACATGTCAAATAAAGTATTTACAATAAATGCTACACCAAGAGTTACCCATATTTAACAGGGATGATGATGGCATGAGTGTGTATAATTATCGAAACACTGCACTGGTAGAGTTACCTGGATAATAAATACAACTGATTCGTGCTGCTCTTTCTGTCGCTCTGCCGTCAAGTCAATTCTGACTCTCAGCTCACCGCAGAAAGTAGAAAATGCAGAACACATCACACGGCCCCCTGTTGGGTAAGCATTGGGCGGCTAAACACAAAGTCAGTGGTTCAAACTACCTGCCGTTCTGCAGTAAAAAGATACATAAATATTTACAGCCTCAGAAACCCAAACAGAGTCTATTAATTTTATGAAATAAAGGAATGGCTTATTAAAAATTAAACCACTATTTTTTTTCCAAAATTAAGCGCTATGATAGAGGGTGGCTATGAGTCAGAATCAAGTCAACAGTCATGGTTTTTGGGGGGGTTTCGGTTTGCAGAGGCTTGAACAAAACATTATTGGCAAAAAAAATATTTTTACTCAGACTTGATAACATAAGCATGGATGGGCCAGATAAAAAGGTTAAATAGTGAGTCAATCAAATTTGGAATCAACCAGGGAAATGATCTACAACCTTCTGATTTCTTATCTATCTTGAGAATGAAAGTGACCATTTATTAAATTCAATATTAAAATATAATAGCATTCTGTAATTAAAAACTGAGATGATAGTTAGCAATAACTAGCCTTAACTTCTGTTGTCAGTCAAGTCAACAGAACACAGAATCAATCTCGGAGTCAACTATTTTGATACAGGGTCTGAAACTATAAATGTGGTTCATAGGTAATGTTCCCCAAACCCCCTGCTATAGTCAATTCGGATTCACAGAGCCCCACGTACGACTTTTGAGAGGTAAACCTTTACAGGGACAGACGGTCTCATCTTTCTCCCAAAGAGGAGCTCGGAAAACTCCAAAACCAAACTCGCTGCCATCGGGTCAATCATGATTCACAGATGCTATAGGACAGGGGAGAACAGCCCCTATGGGTTTCTGAGACTGCAACTCTTCACAGGAGTAGAAAACCTCATCTTTCTGCCGAGAAGTAGGCTAGTGGTTTTGAACTGCCAACCTTGCTGTTAGCAGCCCAGTACCTAATCCATAGCTCCAACAAGGCTTCTTATAATATTTACAGGTATAACAAATTTAAACCTCAAATGGGAATAAACTGGATATAAGTACACGCATGCTAAAACTGACAATGTGTTACTAAATCTTTGAAATGTTTGATTTTTTTAAAAAGAATAAAGGCAATAAAATTTCACCATTTCATTAGGCAACATAATCTGAAATATATTAACCAGAAACTCATCTACTTCCAAACTTACGAGCAAGACAGTCCTTAAGACATGCACACAAGCACAGCTATGTGTTCATGGGTCTGTGTGCTCGTGTGTGTATGTCTGAACACGTTTTAAAGCGTGGTTCTCATGGAGTTTTAAATGGACTTGGTGTTGGCCCTGAAAGAAAACACTGGAAATATGTAAAGACGGAGTAGTCCAGTTTGTCGAGCTCTCTGGAGAAGCAACGTACCTGTGCCCTTTTCTGCACCTCCAGGAGGAGTTCAGAATACTGCAGCTCCAGTTCCTTCTTTTGTTTATGCCAGCAGCTCTCCTGGGCTTTGATCTGCTCTGCCACTTTGTTAAAGGTGTCTTCCTGGGTCTGCTGAAGCTCTCTCATTGTGTCTGACTTGTTTTTGCAGATGTACTCTAGATGGTTTATCTGCAGGGAGGCATGCGACAGTGAGATGCGCACACAAACCATTTCATTGCGTCACCTCTCGAAAAGAAGAAACCAGAAATGTATGCTTGATTTTATTCCTCAAGGTCATATTAAAATGTAAGTTAAAATATAAATGTTTAAAATTACGGGACAGAAATCAGCATGGGAAATGGCTATATATTTTGCAAAGAACGATGTCATCTGTAGACAGTGTATACAAATATTTTTATTCTCTTTCTCCTGAAAGTACTCCTTTTGTTGAGAAGACTAAGAATATTCTTATTTCTGGAACTAATGCTCAGCTAATTAATGATCTCACTGGGAAAGGGGTTATTTCAATGACAGTTACAAACTTGCAAACATGCACATGAAATAAAACAGAATGCTCCGACCATTTCACATCCAAAACACTGGAAGGAATAACCTCATCTGTTCACATGTGTGATACTTAACAATGTATGGACACTATGAAAGATTATTTTGAAATATAATACCATCGCAGGGAGCTACACACACACACACATTGTAATTGTCAGTAGTTTTCCAGACTTACACACACAGACTTTATACCCATTGCACACACATTCACAAGCACGAGCAGCATCTGTGCTTCTCCAAGCACAAGCCCTCCTTTCCTCAATCCTATTTCTCAGCGCCTATGGCCTGTTTACTGACAGGACCCAAGGAAATTGCTCAGTAACAAGAAATCTCATCCACAAACTGGACCAACCCAGATGTCGCTTAATTACTTCAACAGATCTGAAACACAGAACGAACGTTCTCTTTGGGGCCCTTCAGATTGAATGCCAGTGCAAGTAGACCTGGAAACCAGACAGCATAAACATGGTGCTGACTCATTCAATAGATCCAGACTATGGATCGGTACCTTGAATGGTGGCATATGCTGGTCTCCTCTGCCCGTTTAATTTTCTATAACCAGCAGAAGACTATTTATCTATTTGTTTGTTTATTTGTGAAACACTGAATGCCTCGGCTTGTGAAATGGCAGAGCAGCCATAAAAATCTAGTCTTTTCTCCCTGAAACTGCTATTTCTGACATTCTAAAATATGAAATGAGTTCTGTACTGCAGTTTGCTACATTGCAAGAAGCCAGTCATAAACATCATTTAAAATGTTTAAACATTTTTTTAAAAGAACACCTTGGATTGTCAAAAGAATTCTAAGATCATGTTTTTAGGTAGCTTGTATCTTGTTTCTATTTTATGCTAAGATAAAGAGTTGGTTTATTAATGTAAATGACTCAGTTCTTTGAGTTGCTTCATCAGTAAGATTAATTTATTTTCTTTTAATGAGGTCCCTGTGGCTAATACTGGCTAGTAGTATTAGCATGTCCTGCACAGAAAGTGGAGCTTAGAGACTTCATACAGACTTCAGTCACATTTACATGCCCACAGCAATGGCATCAAACTGAGTTGTAGACAAGCCATAATTAATGGTATTGAATTATTAACATCCAAATTCTTTTTGAAATAAGATGAATGTCAGCCCCCCTTAATGATACTGTGATGTGGACAAATGTCACTGAATTTAATAGAGGTATCTGGTGCCTGAGGACAGTTACCTTCTCATTAGCCCTGTTGAGGTCTCCGATCAGGGCATCAACATTCTCCTGCAAGACTGCACAAAGCTCCGACCAGGAGAATTTATCCAGCATGCCTTCTGGTTGTTTTATGAGCACACAGCCCGCTACCAAGTGCTGATACAAGGTATGAAGGAAGGTTAGCTTCTCCTGGGAGAAAAAGACATTCATTTCAGTATATAAACACTGTAAGAAGGACCACACATAACACACATAGTAAAGAATTTGTAATTAAAAACAAAACCTAGAAAGGAATAGAAACACTCAAGTCTCAGATAATTTTCATTTCGATGACTTTGGGGCTTTTTGTACATTCAAAACGAAGCAGGCAATAGACTACAGGTGTCTCGGCTAGTTAGTGCTGCTGAAACAGAAATACCCCAAGGGGTGCTGTTAGGTGTCAGTTCCGACTCAGTGACCCTCTGTACAGCAAAACCCAACACTGCCGGGGTCCTGCACCCTCCTCACCAGTGTTACGTTTGAACCCACTGTTGGCAACCCCTGTCAATCCATACCATCGAGGGTCTGCCTCTTTGTCAATGTCCCTCCACTTGACCAAGCATGAGGTCCTTTCCAGGGACTGGTCTCTCCGAATAAAACACCACAAGGGAGCAGCTTTAACAAACAGAAATGGATTCTCTCACAGTTGAGGAGACTGGAAATCCACATTCTGGGCACCAGCTGGGGGCTCGCTCTCTCTGCCAGCTTGGGGGAAAGTCCCTGTCTCCTTTATTACCTGTGAGCTGCGCACTAACTGGAGATCCACAGGTGCCTGAGTGGCAGTCTTCCCCTGGGTGTAAGAGGAACTCGGCAGGAGGGGAGAAGCTCAACCTGAGTAAGCTTTCTCTCCCAAGAAGAGAACAAGCCACTGTCGCCACCCCCACCTCTCTCCAAAGTCCAGGTCCCTTGTAAGATAAAAGATGATGCAGGCCACCCCTAGGGAAACTTCCCTTACATTGGATCAGGGTTGTGATCTAAGTAAGGGTGGTGACTTAAAAGGGAAGGTCAACAATTTCGTGGAAATTTTCCATTATCTTTTCATTTCATTTTCCCACGAACTTTTTGAAGCACCAAGTGATCAAGTTCATCCTCAGGGTGACTCAGTCAGTCACTGCCTACGGGTGGCCCTGCCCCATTAACATAACAAACATCAACTCATCCAATTTTACATCACCTAAACCTGCCCACTAGACAACTGCCTACCTGAGAATTTACAACAAAGCACGGAAGGGAGGACAGGCAGGCCCAGCCTGACCAGTGGGATATAAGAAGGTTTCAATTGAGGCCCAACTTCCTCAGCTGCTCAACAAGGTGTCTGGACTCATAGCTTCTAATTCCTTCTGTCAGGCAGTATGGTGAGCCTATTCTTTCAGATTTACACTTGCCAAGACAAATATTACTTAGCTCAAAAAAATTCACCCAGCGAAAAAGGAGTTATTGGACTCTGTCTAAGAAAAGTTCCATTCGTCTCTGCTCTGCACGTACACAGTTGTTGGACTTCTGCTCTCGTCCTGAGACCCGTTTGTGGATGACGGACAGGCAATGTTCCCTGGCCCCTTGGGTGAGAAGACAGATAAGAAATGTGTGGGAGATGAGTTCATCTGTTTTCGCCATTTACAAGTTAATACAGCGTTTGGGACACTAGGCAGCTGGTAGGTGTGTAGACTATTACAAAGTAACAGAGGAAAAAAACAATAAATGGGCATGGCTGCCCAAGATATACTTTCCAAGCTGTCCAATTAGAAAAATATTTTTAAACATTTACTTACTTACATTGCAGTAAGTAACCTGCTCATTGTTGAATGATTGAAATAACCTAGAAATTCTTGCTATGCTGCAGAATTCCATAGAGAACTGACCGATCTTGAACACCCAAGAAGGATTTACTTCCTAAAAAGCCCAATGGCTCCCTTAATAAGGTGTTTCACCTTTAATAAAGCCCCAAAGCATGGACCTCAAAGACAAAGCAATTGGAAAGCTACAGAGTGAATGTTCTGGGTAGCTCAAATAAGTTCCCTCAAAAAAGATAAAATAAAATAATGTAATAGATCATTAGGAAAGATAGCCATTAAAAGGAGAAATTTTAAGAGAAAGGTAAAAAAGGAAATTCTAATCTAAATCATAAAAACAGAAAATAGCATATGTAAAAGTTTTGAAAGTAGACATTCTAAAGAATTATCTATATTTGTATGCGTCAAAATATATATCTTTCATTCAAACTTTCAGGCCATTTTACCTTTTTCCAAATACAATCATTTGAAAACTAAGAGCATTCATTTAGTTGCAACTACAAACCTGAGTGAAGAAATCAAAAGGCTTCATAACTACACCAGCCTTTCCCTTTCAGACAGACTGAAAGATGGCTTTATATTTTTCAACTGCCTTTAGGTGTTCAAAAATCCTATTCGCTCCAAGTAACCACATGTAATCCCCAGGCACTAAAGTGTCCCCCCCTCCCACTTTTCACCAAGCGATGCGGATCACCCTCAGGATGGCTCAGTGAGTGGCTGCTGTGTCCTTTTTGGCTTGGGCTGTGATAAACCAAGCATGATCATCAGCCCTGTGGCGTGCAAAAGAAAAAAAGAAAGAAAGAAATACAACCCTCAAAACCCAAAATCAATTCACACATGTTGAACCCAGCCATACTGCTGCAGACATGCTGACTTTACAATACAGCCAGTCTTCCAGTTCCTTTATTTTAATCTTTATCTGATGTGCAGAACAATTCCAAGCCCTTCATGTGGACACAATTTAAAACCCAGCCCGTAAGAAGAGTGGAAAGAATGCTTCCTCTCTACGCTCTTGGCATCCGTGTTCCTATTTGTTACAGTAATGGACTCAATATGCAAGACGACTCAGATAAACCAGCTCCACACTAACTAGACGAGTCTATGCCCCATGGGGAAAGGAAAATACAAGCTAACCATTCCATTCACGCAGGATCATACAAAACATGGAAGTTTGGTCATAGAATTTTAAGAATCACTAATAAATGAAAATGGAGTATAATATGTGAATTATATGCCAATAAAACTATTTTGTTTTTGAAAGAAAAGAAAATGAATAGGCAACCTCCCGAAGCATCTAAATTCATGTGTTAATTTTGTGGGCCTTCTTTTTCTGAATTTTAAAAATATCCATTATCACAAGGAGCAAGGAGGTTATCTATCAAAGTAGATGTTATTCTTGTTTTATACGCCAGGAAACAACAAGGACTAAGATTTGGACTTTCGAATGTATGTTATATTTTTTTAAGAAATAAACAACTGAAAAAGGAGAATGTCAGCAATTTTTTCAGCAAACAGACTCTAAGAATCCCTGCACGGAAGACAAGAGAGCCACCTCCCCAATTTCAGCAACCACTACGGTTATATTTTTTTCCTGGTTTTTACTGTTTTGATCATGTGAATTGAAAAAAGAAATATTAATATCACATGAGCAAGAACCCCAACCGAAGAATTCTGAAATATTTAATAAGTGCTATTTTTCCTTATTTGTTCATTTTGGGTGCTGGTGCTAAACTTTCATGTATCAAGATTTAAAAAGAAATTTTATACCCTTAGTTATTCCTAGGATTGAGGGGGAGGGAGACCACTTTTGCTTCCTGATGTCACTCAACTTGAAAATGTGCAGTATAAATTATGTTCCTCAAAAATAAACGTTTTACCTTCAGTGGAAAAAAACAAACAGGAACATGAGGCGTGAAGAGACAGAGCTGTGTGGCTTGGCCAGTCATGGCCACAGAGTCTTTCATCAGAGGCACCAGGAGCCCGTTCCGGGTCTTTCTGGTCACCGAAACCATATTCCTTCCCCCACACCACAACTGCAGTAAAATAATAACTTTGTCTTTAGAGAGCAAGAAAACCTCGAAAAGGCCATCAGGAGAACAGCTCCTAAGAGCGCCAAGGAGCATTAGCTGTGCAAGGGCCGGGAGGGCCACACTGCCTTGTGTCTCTCCAAGAGGGCAGCGCAAGGACAAGGGAGCGACTGGCTTTGCAGCTGTCGCAAATCTTTCAAAACACCCAGCTCAGAACAAAATTTTTGACTTCAATCAGATAGCAGTAAAAAACAGCCACTGGTGGCTGTGGCTGTGAAGCCGAGCGCAGGGCAGGCCCTTCCAGACAGCATCTGGTCTCGGGTCATACCTCTGAGTCCCTGTGGGAGGCCTGGGAAAGCTTGTGGAGTTCACCTTCCGACTGCGCTGCCCGGGCCTTCTCTTTCTCCCAGCAGTGCAGCACGTTCTGCAGCTCCACTTTTAGAGTGCTTATTAAAGCATCCCGGTCTGCGCACTTGGTGCGTAAATGACTTAACTCTTTGTTGACGTCCACCAGTTTCTCCTGAAGGTCCTATTGAAGATACACCACATAAGGAGAACGTCGTTAGGATGACCCATGGGGTGGTGGCGTGAAATACCTACTAGTTTCATAGCTGAAGAAACTTCCAGGAAAGCATGTGTTTACGCTGCTAAAGCATGAAGGTGCTTAACTGAAGTGAGTTTTTTAGCTAAAAAATTTGTTGTCTTAACGTTTACTCAGAGTCGATTCCGACTCACAGCAACTCTCTAAGACAGAGAAGAATTGCCCCTTTGATTTTCTGAGACTATAACTCTGAAAGGGAGTAGAAAGCTTCATCTTTCTCCAGCCCAGCGGCTGCTGGTTTTGACGCTGCTGACTTTGAGGTTAGCAACCCAACACATAACCCACTCTGCCACCAGGCTTCCTTAACCTTTGCAGAAAATGTTCACACGATTCCTCTTCCAAAAAGGTCTTTCAAAGGGAATTTTCCTTGTGTGCCATTTTAAAAAATAATTTGGTCGATGGACATTTTTTAAACATTTAATAAGATTTTTAAAATAAACCCCTTAAATCTCATATAAGAACATTTACTTTCTAATGGTATTCTAAATACTAATAGAAATTTCAACTAAGTGGTATAAAACACTGCTGAACTGTTTATTCCTTAGGCTTAACAAATCCTATTGAAGTGTACCCATGACAAGCTCAACATGAACCAGCACAATAAAATTCCTACAATACTGATCAACTCTGCAAGCTGCCCCAGGACCATTTTGCAAAGATGCAGGACATAAAACCAGCGCAGAAAATAAAATAAGCTGTTGTTCTGGACTCGGGCCAGGAGTGGCTGCCGCCCATGGCCAGGCCTGGTGTGTATAAACACAAGGGTTCCTCCCTAAAATAATATAAACTGATGCCAAATACTGATTACTGATGTACTTAAATAAAGTACTTTTAAGACACATCTAATGCTGGGTATTAAGTCTGAAGTCATTCCTTTTTATCTTATGATATGATAATTATCTGGAAAATAAATTTTTCTTGAACCGACACACTTTCAAACCAACTTTTATTTTTTTGAATGCCATGCATTATTGTTACTTTGACCAGCAGGGTTTTTTTTAATTAGCATTTTATCCAAATATATCACTGCTCGGCCTTTTGGCTAAAAGCCAGTAAAATTTTATCCAATTATATTTAGTTTAAATAAAGAAAATATATTTTTTGGATACCTCTGGTTAAAAACATAGTCTAAACAACTATATTTGTGTCTTAGGATAAAAAGTTATGCTAAATCATAATACCTTTATGCTTTAGGATAAAAAGTTATGCTAAATCATAATACCTTTATGCTTTTAGTGTGAGATTCTATCTTCTGTTTGGTAGAATTAAGTTCACTCAATACTTTTTCCTTAGCATTGCACATGCTGGTGAGCTGGAGAGAGAAAACAGAACTTCTTAACATGTTTCAAGGATGTGTGACTCAAAAGCTAATCTTTGAATGTTTTCTGTGCCCTCCTTAAACAGGAGTGTTTCGAGAATAATTAAAAGTCTTCATGAAGTATTTCTCTAGTGTAACTGCTGTGTAGCCTGGCTAAAGAGAAACGAAAGCATTCAAGCTTAACATGTCAGTGAGGCTCTTGTGCTGTTGCTAGATGTCTGGATAAAAGACTTCATTCTTACTGTAAACAAATATAACTTTATTCTGAAAATCCTGCTGGACCCAAATGCCAGCAGGCATCTAAAAGAAAGGGGGTGGGGGAGACAGGGCAGGAGCTTGTTCCTCCTGTACATCATGAGGGTCCTTCACTGGTCTCCCGCTCCATATGACAAACTTCAGGGTCAGTCACATGCAGTCCTACTGGGAAGCCTGTGGCAGGTCATCAGTTGGTGCTGCTCCGCTTGTGATTCCCTCGCTCTGACAGTTCATTCTTCTTTCTGTCAGACTGCTCTCTCTGCTTCCTTCGCAGCCACCCCCTTGGTCTCCCCACTGCTGTCTCTGGCACTGGTTCACGACAAAGCGCATCGCTAAGCCAAAGCCTGCTGAGTCGACTTTTCAAGTGTGCTGAGGATCATGAGACATCCATCCCCCCAAATAACAATTCGCTGTGGGTCCTATGTTCCTAGTTACCCTGCAGCTTCCAGATCCACACCTCGGAAGAGGTCCGCAATCCACTAACAATGCAGGTTGTCTTGTCTCCCTGGGAAAGACTGGCAGCACTGCGCTTGATAGAGATTTAATTATTTCCATGGTCACTTTCTTTTGTGACTCTTGAACAGCCAAAGGGCATTCAGAAGACTCACTTGTCCTTCTTTGTTTGCCTTGGTAGACTAAACCAAAGCAGCCCTCTGTTCAAGTGTGAGATGCCATGGTTTCCCAGCCTGGGGTCGCATGAAAGAAAGCCAGACACAGAAAGCTAACCACCAAGTTCCATGTTATGTGGCTTGTCTCTGGTTCAAACAATCTGCTGTTTCACTAATTGCCTTTAATGTAATTACTTTCTATGCTCTAATTTGACAAGAAGTGACTAAACAAACTTCAATTTTTAAAGCACGGATTCATAAAACATTTTAATACCCAAGAAAATTATTAACCCACACATTAAATAATACAAATGAGATGATAAACAGAAGCATGGGATTTTTCTGTCAGCAAAGTAAAAGCTCCCAGGCTACATCAAACGATTGTTTGTTTTTAAAAACTCCTAACAACACTACACTCCCTTTAGGGAATAAAAATTAATTTCTTTCCTTAAGACTTCTTAATTTTTATTGAGATTGCCACAATTTAGATAAGTCTTAGAATAAAACAGTGACAAAGCCTGAATTTCTACAAGCTATTCCAAACGTCCTATAAACACACTAACATTGAAATTCAGCTTAATATTAACTTACTCATTCAAATTACCTGTATAGGTTGTGTCTCTTTTTAATAATAATTAGAATTGACAAATTAGGAAGACCAAGAAGCGACACAATCTATATCTTTGAAAATAAGTGTGTGATGAAGGGTGGCATGAATAAAAGTGAGGCAGGACTCTAAGCCACAGTTAAAGAAAGCACAATGACAGACACTTTTCTTTTTTCTATCAGTGAAGCTGTCAATTCAATATTCCCAATCTTTTGACCTTTGTAACAAGCCAGGGGTATGTACTGCTGCAGGCCCAGGGCTATATGCGTGGAGCCAAACAGTGCAAGTGTTACCTCATTAGATGCATCTTCCAGCTTGTTCTGGTAATCTGTCAAGGTGCGCCTCAGAGTCTCGAGGACAACAGAGAAGCTGGGGGTTTTATCTTTGTCCTTGTGGATGCCTGCAGAAAAATAGAGGATGAAAACAAAGTTCCCAAAGTCACCCAGAGACAAAAGCTAAGTAAACAGTAACAGAGATATTACAATTAGGTAGAGCTAAAAAAGGCTTCATGAAACATTGAGTAGAATCATATTCTCCCATGCATGCTGCTGGCTAGCCTTTCTAAACAAGTGATCAAATTAAAGTTGTGAGATACCAAGTTCAAATTCCTGGCTGTTTTCTGCCTTAATGAAGCCCACGTTGCAGCTAGTGGCTAGCTCTTTTTCTTTTTGTCCCCTCCACATCCACTAAATATCTGAAATGCTTGCACACACATATTATTCAACAATTAACCAATTTGATAAACTAGCATTGTCGCCGGGAGTTAACTACACTCACTTTGGCCCTTTTGTCTTTGATCAGTAAGGTCTTTCATTCGGCACTAGATTTCTTAAAGCATAAGATCCCAACTCAAGAGCACATCATTTTCTGTTATGCTTGGAACTGGCTCTTCGATCCTTAAAATTCTCAAGTTACAATGTGAAATCAATACTTTTTAAAACGCTATTATCTACCTAGGTCCACATCATGTTTCAATTAAAACCCTTAAAATTGATACTCATTGTAAAAATATGTGTAACTTTCATATCATGCCCTCAAACCATTTTCATTTGCTTGTGCCACAACTAAGTTAGTTGAACTAATCAAGGTTGCATGATCAGATATAGTTAACATAGTCATCCAAAATAACCAAAAGTCTCATTTTAAGAACACTTAAACTGTTTTGTGTACTACTCTTCAAAGAATGTAAAAAATATATATATACCAGATTTAACTTTTAAGAAGCCTTACTGAAAGCATTTGACTTTTTTCCATTATTTCTCCCTGCTGTATTTCTCAGCCTAAACATTTCAATAGATAAGGAGGGCACACTTGTGAAACAGTTTGAAAAAGAAGCAGTCACAAGCTAGGCTTTATTATTCATTCAGGAAACGTAAGTGGATTCATGCTATGCATTCATTATAGGCACGACACAGAGGTGGACAAGACTGGTCCAGCCTCTGGACTCCTGGAACTTACAGTCTGATGGAAGAATAGAGGCACAGAACAAATAATGACATTGGTCCTTCCTCCATTCTTTCAGGTTTCAACTATGGAACTTTGGGGGTGTCAGAGGAAGAAAGTATTAATAAAGGAAAAAAGAAATGAGGGGGAAAGGGAACAGAAAATCTCCTACTGATGGAGCCATTTTATTTATCTCAGGATATAGGTGATAGCATGTTACTTGGCAAAGGGTCATTAATAAAGTTACGGCGATGATGCTGTTAGAATTTAAGCAATTGCTTAAGCATGCGTACAACTTAGGAATTCTGCAACACAAGAAGAGCATTTCACTTAACCATGAAAGGTAACGTGGAAACAACATATATACAAGGAAAGAAGAGGGAAGGGTGGGGGAGCTAGTGCTCTGAGGTGTGATAATAGAGGAGACAGTGGCCTTTGTAATGACTGTGAGTTGGAGAGACAACTCATTAAAAATTTTATTAAGAGTCTTACCAAATATATGTTTAAAAAATTGCTCTCTTGCACAAGATAAAAAAAAGTAATGTATAATTCTTTTCTTTTGCTGCTACACAAGGAGGCTATGAATAAATCATCCAAGGACACTCGGGAAATATGCTGGCTTTCACAATAAGGGAGAAAAAAGCGTCCTCTTCGATCCAGAAGAATAAAATCACCTTAGTTTGAGTGTTGAGGGGCAAGGGGACAAAATGCCCTCTCCTTACTGACCTTTGCACATGCTTATATTCTATACAAAATAAACTGTCTTGCCTGAAAATATTTGCACAATGAAGTTCAGATGTAGTGCAAAGTCTGCTTGATGTCCCAGCTTCATCGATTATAAAAAGAAATATTTACTGGCCCTTTAACGGGACACGATGTTTGAAAATAAAAACTAAAAGGTCACTCTGGGCCGGGGACCCCACTGACTGATTTTATTTAACGTAATAATATTCTAATCACTGCACTATCACCCCCAAAATAATGGACTCTTTTAAGGCAACAAAAGGAGCCCTGGTAGCACAGTGGTTACACACTGGGCTGCTAACTGCAAGGGCAGCAGTTCAAAACCACCAGCCACTCCTTTGGAGAAAGACGGGACTATCTAACTGTCTACCCCGTTAAGACTTACAGTCTTGGAAACACAGGGCCAGTTCTACATTGTCTTATCCGATCACTGTGAGTCAGCATCAATTCATCGGCAGTGAATAAAGGCAACAAATGATGTCACTATATTCTAAGGCCCTTCTGACTCTCCTTAAATATAAATTTAAATCTTGAAGGTCAATTCCAACTCATAGTAACCGTACAGGACGAAGTAGAACTGCCCCATAGGATTTCCAAGAGTGTAATCTCTACAGAGGCAGATCACCATGTCTTCGTCCTGCTGAGAGGCTGTCAAGTTTGAATTACTGACCATGCACTTAGCAATGAAGTGCTTAACTGTGGCACCACCATAAAATGTGTTTACATGTATAATATATACATCCCACATGTGCATATATATAATTGTATATATTGTGTATGTGTGTGCACATAGATATATGTGTGTATACTTTAACACACACATAAACATATAGAAGAGGAATCAAAAACGTCACAGGAAAATGTCATTATCTTTCCATTCCATTTTTCCACAAAATGTTTTAAGGCTTCTCGTATATATGTGTGTATATAGCATACATATTCACACACACACACACACACACACACACACAATACACATACAAATAATTTCCTAAAGAAAAGGCTAAAGATTGGAAGGCTCTTAGCCAACATGAAGTTAACCACCCCGAGGAAGACCCAGGACTGAACCACAAGAGAAAAACTTTCTTTCATGAACCCATGAAGGAAAAGTCGCATTCCAGACGTTTGCTAACACCCTCAGGCAGAGCTGAAACTGTCCTAAAAGAAATGCTTGAGGCAGAAAGGCTGCACGGCTTCAAAGAGATAAATAGCTCACCGGAGGCCTCTCTCTCTCTCTCTCTCTCTCTCTCTCTCTGTCCTATAAGAATTTCCACCAGGAAAGAAGTGAGACATGAGGAGTTGATGTACTCCAGTTTTAATGAAAAGCAGAGAGCAAATAGGGAGGGAGAATTAGAATTGATTGTGATGATGTATATACAATTCTTTTTCAAAGAGATGTAACTATGGAAGTGTATGATATGGGAATATCACGTCAAGAAAACCATGTGCCCTCTGGCCACCATGGGTGGAGGCAGAGGAGTTGGTGCTTTGCTGCGGGCACTGTGTGCATGCTCACGGTGGTGGAACAATGTGGAGCGGGGTCCCAGTCATGGCTGCACAACAACCAGAGTACACCCAGTGGCACTGACCTGTTCATGTAGACACTGTTGAATTGGAGAAGGTTTCGTGGTGCATATTTTTGTCAGAATTGAAAAAAAATACATGAATGACAATGAGTACAGAGAAAAAGAAAATGTTCTAAAATTGATTGTGGTAAACATTGTACAATTCTTCTTGATACATGTTGTATGAGGCTGGCGTGCCAATAAAACTGTTTTTAAAAGAGCAAACAAATGTCCCTGGTTAAGTTTAAGTAAACCCTGTGTCTTCTCTAATGACGGTCGGCGACCAAGGTAACACTCCAGATAAACCATGTACAAGTGTACATCTTTGACCCTGAAACCCATCTTCCCGGTAATAGCCATGTGGGCTGCTGCCCAAAGGGGTGCTTTATGACCACTACAACTTCAACAGTGAAACAGACCCTCAACCCCATATGAATTTAGTCACACTTTAATTCAACAAGTATTTGAGTGCCTATTTTGTGCCAAGTCCTGCTCTAGGTGTTTAAAGTTCATCAACAAGGGAAAGAGGCCGAGCCCCGAGCCCTTCTGGAGCTCAGACGTAAGAATAAATCCACTGAAGAGTACCTCAGAAATATCTGACAGCAGTAAAAGCGTGTGTTGCGGGGGGTGGGAGGGGGGGTGTAAAGTGTGGCTGTGGGAGGACATAATGCATACAAGGTGAGCTGGAGCACAGACTTGGGGGAGATGGAAGACTGGCCAGTGAGGCAGGCATATTGAGATAAAGAACTTTATAAAGGAATAGCCAGCATGTCGAACCCCAAGACAGACGCATGCTTGGAATTCCCAAGAAACAGCAGGGACTCCCAAAGAAGTTAGACATAGAATTACCATATGACCCAACAATTACACTTAGGCCAGAAAACAAACAAATGCAGGGACTCCAACAGGATCCTGTGCACCAATGTTCACTGTAGCATTGTTCACAATAGCCAAGTGGTAGAAACAACTTGTGTACATCAACACATGCATGAGTGAATAAACAATATGTGTTATATATGCACAGTGGAATATTATTTCACCATAAAAAGAAGTGAAGTTCCAATAGATGCTATGACTCATATGAGCCTTGAAAACATTAAGCCAGCCACAAAGGACAAATACTATAGGAGCCCACTTAGATGAAATGTCTAGAACAGATAACTACACAGCGGCAGAGAGTTGATTTGAGGTCACCACAGGCTGAGGGGAGAGAGAAATGAGGAGCTAGTGCTGCTTGGAGTGATGAAAAAGTTTTAGAAACTAACAGTGATGATGGTTGCACAAAATTGGGGATGTGATTAATGCTACTTGGAAATAAGGTTGTACACATGAAAGTGGTTAAAAGGGCAACTTTGGGGGAGCGGGGAGGGAGGAAAAAAATGAGGACCTAGTGTCGGGGGTTTAAGTGGAGAGAAAATGTTTTGAGTAACGATGTACAAATGCGCTTTACACAATTGATGTGTGTATGGATTGGGATAACAGTTGTATGAGCCCCTAATAAAATGTTAAAAAATAAAATAAAATAAAGAAAAAAAACAAAAAAAAGGGCAACTTTATGTTGTGGGTATTTTACCACAATAAAAAAAAGAGAGAAACAGCAGAGGCCAAAGACAGAGGAAAGAAGAGCGTGGGGTCATGAGGCTAGAGCAGCCCACAGAGGGATTTACAAATCATTGTTCATTCTGGCTCCTGCTCTGCCTCTGCTTGGTAAATGATCACTCTGTAGTGAGAGAGAAAGCATTAAAGGGAGCAAGGGTGGGAACAGGGAGAGTAATTAGGATGAGGTTGGGAGGTTGGAGGCAACAGAAAACAAGGTGAAAAGGGTCACAGGTCAGGAGACCAACTAAATCCTCTAAATAAGGAACTCCTGAATTTCTTGGACTAATGGAAATTTTGTCCCGCTACATAAAGATCAGCTGGCGGGTCATACTTTTTTCAGAACAAATTCTTAATGTAAAAGATCACAAAATTCTTAAGAGAGTAGAAATCATGGGCAGCAGCATCCATGACTAATATTTTGCTAGATCCCCAAATATATCTACCTGATATACAACTTATTCTATTAAGAGGGTTAATACTAAAACCAAAATATTTCACCTAAGCATTCTTATCTAGAGAGTATGTGTGTAAGGTAATGGGAAACGAATGTGAAAGCGCCGGTGTAGAACATGCACTGTGCTACAGCCTGTGTCCTACATAACCTTTGGAATGCATGACCTTTAAGTTGCTGAAGGTTGCCTCAGAATTTGGCTCGGTTTGATGGAAACATCTGTTCCCCTTGCAGGTAGACTGTAAGGACTTTTTTCTCAGTTGGATTCAGAACACAGCAAGTGAGCCCTTGTCTGTCCAATCATACAGACCCCAACCCTTGTAAATCAAGTTCTGCGAGGGCAACAGCAGGTCCCCATTCCGTCACCCCTTCTCGGCCAGCTAGGCCAACTGACCGCTGTGAGAACTGCCCTGATCATGTCATCAAATCAAAGCATGTTGAGATGAGGGACTATAAGAGGCATCTGCAGAATGCCCCAAGTGTCGTGACTTTGGAACACTGACAGATGCATCTGTCATCTTATACCTTCAACTAACCTGATGTCCACTGGCCCAACACAGAAAAGCTGTCCAAGATCGATTCCAATTCTTTCACATTATTTTCACATGTCTCTACTAGGAAGGCTTGGTGCTTCTTAGCCTTTTTAATTAGGGGGAAAAAGCACATGTAAAAAGGTCAAGTATTATATGAGCTAGATTTTTTACATAGACATATACAGCACAATTAAGTATAAACAAGCTATCAAAATCTTATGCTAATAAACTTCTTCTCTGTCTGAATCATGCCTTCTACTTGGCTTATTGTAACACTACCAGGTCTCATTAGCAATTTATTGAGGACTTACCACTGCCTAGCATTGTTCAAAATATTTTACATATAGCAGTTGTTGTTCTTCTTCTTTAATCATTTTATTGGGGACTCGTATAACTCTTATCACCATCCATACATCCATCCATTGTGTCAAGCACATTTTTACATTTGTTGCCATCATCATTCTCAAAACATTTTCTTTCTACTTAAGCTCTTGGTATCAGCTCATTAGTTCCCTTCCCTCCCTGGCCCCCCCAAGCCCTTGATAATTTATAAATTATGATTATTTTGTCATGTCTACACTGTCTGATGTCTCTCTTTACGCACTTTTCTGTTGTCCCCCAGGGAGGGGGTTATATGTAGATCCTTGTGATCGGTTCTCCCTTTCTACCACACCTTCTCTCCACCCTCCCAGTATCGCCACTCTCACCACGGGTCCTGAAGGATTCATCTGTCCTGGATTCCCTGTGTTTCCAGTTCCTGTCTGTACCAGTGTACATTCTCTAGTCTAGCCGGATTTGTAAGGTAGAATTGGGATCATGATAGTGCGGGGGGAAGGAAGCATTTAGGAACTAGAGGAAAGTTGTATGTTTCATCATTGCTACACTGTACCCTGACTTGCTCATCTCCTCCCCGTAAAGGGATGTCCAGTTGCCTACAGATGGGCTTTGGGTCCCCACTCCGCACTCCCCCTCATTCACAATGATATGATTTTTTGTTCTTTGATGCCTGATACCTGATCCCTTCGACACCTCA